GGGGATACCAAGCAGAGCACACCAGCCAGCACCCACTGACCCTTGAATGTGTCCAAGGAGCCTATAGACACCACCCAAGGAAGCTCTGGCCAGAGACATGAGCTGTCATTGAAATAAACAGAAGTTGAAAGCCCTCAATGTCCCTGAAAAATCATAGCTTCAGTGTTTCAAATCGGGCATGGAATACATAGAGAACACAAACATCAATAAACAAGTATAAAAACATGGCTTTATGGTTTCAGAATAAGTTACTGCAGAATGACAGACAAATATCATTTTCATTGGGTTTAACTATTTTCTAGCAAGTTTTGTGCAAATAATTGCCACACATTAAGAATGATACACATTTAAAATAAAAACTAATTCAGTGTCACAGACAGAGATATCAGGTTTTTTTCCTTTGGCACTCTAGATTTGAATACTGATCCTACTTACCCAGTTTATTAAAATATATTTTCATTTGATCATTTTGCTTTTCCCTGGCTTTGAAATGTACACACAAATTAGCAGTTCATACTTTAACAAAAGCCAAGTGGGCCTTCCACATACATTGTTGTTTCTTCTTTTACTGAAAAAAGTCTAAAAACACTCTAGTGTCCTGAACAATACAGGGTCCTAATTACAAAGCAAAAGAACTGTCTCAAGAGAATGAAAAAAGGGGACAAAATAAATTAAGACAAAAAAGAAAATGTGTGTGGGCATCAGCCCATGACTCTATCAGTGGCATAAAAGAAAAGGGAGAGCTGGGGGAAGGAAGGAGGTTGATTTGCTAGAGAAGTAGAGACAAAAAGAGTGTGACAGCCTCCATCTAGTACAGCTCATTCTACTGCATTGTAGAAAAGTATTAGTGGTAATCTCTTATCTTCCTGCTCTTAGGCAATTGCCTCTGATACCTTCAGTGTTCCAGGGGTTAAGCCCTGTCCCTCAAGCTAGTGAAGAGATCTATCTTTCTGTAATTAATCACATAGAAAATTATATGGCTACGGTAACACAGCAGTTTTCTTTTCTGCCTCCCTATTATTCTTTCCCAATCTGGTGTAAGGGGCCCAGAAGGCCCCTAGTAAGACTGCACCTCAGATGCTCCTGAGACCCAGAATAAGGCACCTCCTATATGGGCACAGGCCTAAAGAGCAGTGATTCTCAACCTTTTTAGAGTTGAGGAACACCATGTTATCAAAAATGCTTTTAGTTTTCACTAATTTTTTTGGAGTATGGAAAAATAGAGTGTTGTTTTTTTTGTTGTTGTAAAGAACTCAAAATACCATAACAGGTCAAAATGTTTTTAATGCTATTGATTCTTATTTGAAATCTCCAGGTTTATCTTGTGAATCGCGTTTGCACACACAACACATGCTACATGCTAACACTGCATGGCATCCCACAACATTTTTGAAAGGATCTCAAGGCATCCTGGTTGAAAACCACTGCTCTAGGGCAATGCTCTGTACATCATGACCTCTCACCCACTCCCAACACTCTATTTAGATTATAAATTCTTCTGAGTGAGGAATTTTCGGCAACTCTGTTTGTACAGTGGACAGCACAATGGATTTCCATTCTTCACTGGCCACAGTATACTTAATAATAACAAATAACTTGGTGAATGAGCAGTTATTCAATATTTGATTTTTATCCCATGAAATGTGTCACCCAAACTTTATTTACTGCATACAATTCAAGTTCCTTCTGTGCATTTCAAAATGTTCTTACCAGAGTGTGAGTAGAGCTGGTCAAGATTTTTTCATTGGAACAATTTTCTGTGGGAAAATTTTAATTTTGCTGAAATTATACCCATATAATTTGAATGAACGGGTAACAATAGTAGGCCAAGTATGAGAGACAAGTCCTAAAAGGTAATATAAAGCATCTGGTCCAAACCATTGCATTAATTTCTCCTTACCTCCTTCAACTGAGTCTTAAAATACTATATTTACTCAAATCCAAGAATACTTCAAAGTTAAGATGACCACCCCGCCCATAATTAGACTCTATGCTTGTACAATTATTTATTTAATTTTCCATATCTAGAATCTAGTTATTGGAGGGTCATTTTCAAGTGAAAGCCAGAGCTGCGACTGAGGGTAGGAGGCAGCAGGAGGTAGCTGCAGTTCTATCCCTATGCCTGGGTCAGGGATGGAGCCAGAGCAGCGGCAGCCGCCTGTCCCCACCCTCCCCCCTTGCACCTAATTCCAAGACAAGAGGCTTTTTCCCCATGTTGAATGGGGACAGAAACCTCATCTTGGCTGTGAGCAAATATAATAGATGGTAGAAATTTGTTTTGGCAGGAATATTTTTTTGTAGAAACAGCAAAAGCTGCAACTTTTGACCTCAAAGTGACTTGTCAAATATATGGTCCAAAAATAGAGTGTCCAGCTTTTAAAATTTCACACACCATTCTTTATCATGGACAGTCATGGATTTCTCCTTAAACCCAATCCTAAAAATAGCTCATCCTCCCTGGTCTTCTTTTGGTTTTTTTGAGTTTCATTACAAAAAAAATCAGCTGTATGCAAACAATCAGCTTGGAAGATTTCTAAATCCCAATTGTTTTGGCTGAAAAGTTACAACTAGCTAAAAATAGGGTCTAATAATGGAAGGTGTCATGGGACCTTAACTGCTGGTGTCACTACTTGTCCTGCCTATAATAAAGTAATGTGCACAGTTACATCATTTATGATTTGTACTCTCTGTCACAGGCCGGCTAGGCACTGTGAGTGTATCAGCCGTTAGGCTGCTGGGTTCGGGATAGAGGAGGCGCGTCGGGAGTGAAGTAAAGGCAAATTTACTTATAGCTTAGCATACAACAGTTAACAAAAAGGTTAATGTGACAAACAGATAGTACAGTAATAAAGAGCTAATAGTAAATAATAACAACAGATAGACAGAATGACAAAGAGTTCCCACATGGGGCTGGCAACTTATCGGCAGTCCCTCTATGCCAGGTGCGCGCCAAGTTGTTCCAGCGATGTCAGGCGTCCCTGATCAACGCTGTCCGAGGGGTCACCGGGAAGCTCCCTTGGTCAGGATCCAGTCCTCGCTCACACTGGGAGTCCGGGGTCCAGGCTTGGTACAGCAATGGTCCTTCTGTCCCATCCTTCAAACTGGTCACTTGACATGCACATTCCTTTATGCCTTATTTTATGCTAATCTGTTGGCTGTCTCCTGGGCCACTGCAGTGGGAAGGGTCCTGGTGTGCCCAGGACCAGGAGACAGCTGCCACTGCAGAGCTCTCTCAGTTCTGTGCACATAGGGGCAAGCCCTGTGCCCTGTGGGGCTTGCCTGTGCAGCTGGGGGCTGGGCTGCCTTCCCCCTCTCTCCCTCCACCCGGGGAAATCCTGTGCCCAGCCTGTGGAGAGCTGGGAGCTGAGCAGCTGTCAGGACACCTCCTGGTGTTGGACCTGACCAGGAGTAAATTTGGTTATCTACACATGTGCATGTAATATCTACTGCACAGTTAGTTTACTACCTGTATTTATTGGTAGTAGCTAACTGCACAATAGACTAATTTACTGTGTAGTAAACTGTGTGAACGTGTAGACAGTGACACTTTACTGTGCAGTAGATACACCCTCTTTGAGGAAAGCCTAGGGATTATAGTTCCTAACTTGTTTTGTATATATAGTTTAATCTAATGAAGGTTAAAGGAAATACTGACATACTAGTCTTCTATATAATAGCAGATCAAAATTTAGCACAGTATACATAGTTTGCTGTGCCAGCTACCTTGCTCAGCTCTACCAGTGTTGCACAGTTCCTGGCCCAAAGATGACCTCACTATTGGACCTCTCCTAAACTACACATTCTCGTTGTACAAGGTATGCAATGAAAGTCTAAGGAAAAAAAAAGCCAACCTAATTCTCCTGGATTTTAAATCAGGACTTGCAATCAGGTGCCTTGAAAGGAAGGCCAGTGCATGAACCCATGACCCTACCAGAGCATCCCTAAGCAAAGTAATTTAGTGTCTCTTTAGCTATGGTACATCCCTTTAAACTTAAACATAAAAAACGGTCTTTACACTGGCTACTGCTTTTTAAACCATGCTAATCACGGTCACCTTGTCGTCTCCCCCTTGATGTCTTATGGGGCCTCCAGCCTGGATCGAGGTCTCTAAGAAAGTCTTGTAGCTGAGCTTCATGGTGAAAATGTAATAAACAGTATATTGAATGAATGTCAGAGGCACCTAGAACAAAGAGCAAGTACATAATCAAAGAAAAGCAAATAACATACTCAGGATGTTTGATCACTCTCCACCTCCCAAAAATACAACGATAATGGGACTCCACTTCCCCCATACTTTGTTCCCTGTGTAACAGCACTTGAAAGCAAGGACTTGGTTTCACATTTGTGTCTGAAAGCTTAGCTGGGGTGGGAATGCAAATAACCATCCTAGCACTAATGCTGGTGACTTAGCAGCATTCGGCTCTGTACAACCTGTGCGTGGCTTGGACGCGGCCCAGCAAACCAAGGAGCTGTACTTGACCCTGGTACTGAGGAAACAGGATCCCACATCCCATTCTTATCAGGCCAACACATCTTCCAGTCACTGAGTCCCAATCCTGACAGCAGAGGCATCTGCAGGGCCGGATTAACCCTTTAGAGGACCCTAGGCAAACAAACAGAGGGGCCCCTACTTTTTCCGCTCAATAATGATATGTAAAATAGCTGGGATTTTGGTTGTAGCAGCCCTCTCCACCTTGCTCGCTTGGGCAACTATCGAGGACGTGCACACAGCAGGGCACCGATGAGCTCTTGCGCAGTGTCGAGGGGGCACAGTCACCACGTGACCGCGAGGCGCGGACGCGGGGCCCGAACCTGCAGACGATCCCCTCCCCCGCGCCAGGCCTGACACGCTACCTGGGGCGGGGCTTCGCCGCGCCCAGCCACGTGCCCCCCCCCTCGTACGTCACCCACCTGCGAGCCACGTGATCGGCCCTCGCGGGCCCCGCGCGCGCTAGAGCTAGTGCGAAGCGCTGGACGCATATGCGCAGTGCCGCTGAGGCCATGGCGCGCGTGTCGCGGTCGCTGGCGGCGCCGGGTGGCTGCAGCGACAGCGACAGCGACGAAGACTGCTGGTTCCTCGGGCTCGGCCACGACGCGCCGCAGGTGGGGGCGGGCCGGGCCGGGCCGGGCCCCGCTGGCGGCAGCGTCCTGCTCTGGTGCTGCTGCGCG